TGTGATCTTAACGTTATGGAGGGCGAGTTCCACGTCCTGTTTATTTGTAAAAAGTATTAGTACCTGATATTAAAATATCTCCCAAGCCTATCTGATGTTAAACATTATTCAGTGAAACTCATGTGTAATATATTAAATACAAATAATGAGGATAATTTACGAGCACTCGCCATTTTTCTTAAAAATGTATTTCTATTGAGATGTAAATGGAAATAGAAATATTGTTGTATTGTTCACCACGTGACATGTGTTCTATCAAATACAATTGTTTTCTAGGCTATGCGACCGAAATACTGAATAAATATATATATCATATATATCAATTTCAAGTTTCTACTTTTGTTCATAATCGCATTCCAGGGATTTTAGAATCCAGGAGTTTCCTTCGACCAGTACGAGTCTCGGTCATGCTGATTGCGCTGGTCAGTATCCAGAATCAAGTTAACTCTGCGTAAACGAAATTACATTTTCAACATTTTTCAAAACAAATGGACCCATATATTTCAGTATAAATTAATAGATTTATCTGAAATGGGTGAGAGGCCAGATTACCAACAGTTTTGTAACACGTACTCGTTACCTTGTTATTCTGTGGGTGTTACAGATGGTTATGTAAAGAAGGCGAAACACGAACTGCAGTGTATTGGACGAGTGTCAGTAAAGACATTAAAATATTAATTCTGTATTTTAACGTTTTTCAACAGGATTCTCGCACGAAGCGAGCAATTCTTCCATTTATTGTATCAATTAGTCGTTCGTTCTGTAGTATTACTTCAGTCGAAGATGTAGAACGGCTGTCGCAGTACGTCAAACATCGATCGTTGCATGTAGCTAATACTTCTCGTGTTGTTCAGGTTCGTCAGATGTCGTCATTTATAGCTAATGACCGTATTGAAACGAATTATAGGGATGTATACACAGTGGAATCTGTCAAATCCGGACTCTTTGTAAACCGGTTTTCTCCATAACCCGCACTACTCTCAGAGTCCCGGCAAATTGTTCTTAATTTATCACCGGGTCAGAATATTGATCTTCATTGATCTCCGCGGTGGCTGAGCGGTCTAGGCGTCTGACTTTGCGTGCTGGCGATTAGGTGCCTGACTCTGAGGGTGTGGGTTCGAATCCCGGAGGGGACTCAACCCCAAAAAGTACTAGAATCTGTACTTTACAAAGAAAGTGTAATCCCAAATATAATATATGTTACATTTGACCACTTTCTAAAATGGCATTGTGTATTTCATATTCTACTGTTGCTTCTCTTCAATATTACTTGCTAGGACCGATTCTCATCCATGTTTCAATGTATGCTCTCTCAGTTCATCACATATTTATCTGTATTGCTAAAAACGTTAAGCAAAAACAATTTTGTAGTTAGAAGAATTGTCCGTGTTTATAACACTTGCAAAGTCTTAACCTGCTATTTGTTGTCATCTATTGGTAATGATTTTGCACATGTGCGAAAGTGTGGAAATTCGTGCAAATTCTCACCTTCGAGCAGACGAAGGTTTTGTGAACGATGGTGCCGACATTTAACCGATCGTCAGGCCTAACGCATTCCTTGATCCGCCTCAAATCTTTTGTCTTGACCGTAATGGTTTGTTAAAGGTACACATCAAATCACAGCAATATTTAGTAGATATAGCGAGTGTGAATGGCATAATTCGAAGCACATCGCTTCGGAGGCATCGTTTGACCCCGGAAATAAGTCTGACAAATCCACAAAGAGCGGCCTGCCTGCTGATTGGCCAAAATTGACGCATGCGCCAGTTTTGATTGACAGACTGGACGGTCTATTGTACTAAATGGTCAGTAGTACGTCAATTTTTCCGAAAATAACATTTGTTTTAAGATTGCGGGTTTCCAAATACCAAACTAATTGATCATTTACCGCTCGTTTCCAGGTGATAATAACACCATGTTGAAGATACGGGGTAGGTCTGTATGTCGTCCACGTTTTGGACGTAGGACGACAGGAAATTCTGCCACGAAAGAAAAACAACCTCCGGGAAATCAATGTTTGGTACTTGTTGCTAAATGTAGCGGTCTAAAGACATAGTTTAGCAAATACTGCAATGACTGAGTGTGAATAGTTCCATCGCCTCCAGCAGTATCATGGGATCCGTTGTGACATTCACCATATATTTATAACTAACTGTATTCTTTACTTCTTCCTTGTAAGCTGCAAAATGAAGAATGTACGGTTGGAAGTTCGCCCAGGTTTTTTGCAGTGTCAAATTAATCAATGAAAAACTTGTGATTATTGTTACTTTTAACTTTTTTGAACCATGAAATATGTTTAGAGAACAGTTGCTTCAAGTTATCAACTGTATGTCGGCGAAAATATGTTTTTTGTTCCAATTCTTTCTTACTTGTTTGCAGTCATTACTAAACCATGGTTTACTGACGTGCGAAGTTGCAGGAATTTCATGTAGATCTACTCTAAATGAAGTGGGTCGGAAATAGTTCATTTCCGTAAATTGTCAGGTGTTATACTAAGACGAAATTCGATGGTTTCAGAAAATTTCATTCACATCGTGTTCTGAATTTCGTGCAAACACGCCAGTTCATGATGTTCACGTAAACATGGCCGGGGTAAACGTCGAATTGAACAGTGCAACGTGTCAGTGTGGTGGTGTCAGAGGTAAGTAGTTCTGATACTGTTTTGTTTTTACATGCGGCGTCGGTTAGGTCAAAAACGGCTACCTGCAATGAGCATGATGGCAGTTGGCCCAAGACGGAGCTTTGTGTCGGGAGCTCTTTACGTTTCACAGCAGATTACACTAACAGACAAAGAACGTTGATGACGATCCTGTCGGTCAACGGCACAAAAGAATAATTGTGCTAGGAGACCGTGGGACATGGACAACACAGACCTGACGACCCAACGTCACCCTGTTGGACATTACTTCCTGTGTGTCCTGTGAGACACATACTGGTCCGGAATACAGCTTCCTAAATACTGATGACGTTATAACCGCCCCTGTCTTTGGTAACTATAGTTTTTTTGTTTTTTTGTAGTCGGTGTTTAGTTCGGCATCCTATCAGAAACTTGTGATATCCCTGAAGTCCACAGGCTTAATTGGAAAATCGCCATCCAAGGTCACTTACCAAGAAGCTGAAACACACGGTACCAGCGTCACAATAACCCATCATAAATCGGGGTATGTCAATTATAGTTAAACCACATTCATGGGCTGCCGGAGCAAGCTGTGATCTTACCTTATATGATCAGTGCGTTTGTGTGCAGTTTTAAATGGCAAAAGCGCTAAATGCAACCGGTGTGTCTGATTTGAGCCGAATAAAATGTAAGATTTATTGCCCTTGCCCTGATAGATTGTGAGGATTTCTTTTTTATGTTGACTGGGAATGAGGCGAGTACGTCAGGGTTAGAATATTATCCTATGTTACTTGAATGTAAATGTTTTCTTCAAATAACAAATGACGCATCACACTGGCAACACATGTCAAATGACTTTCATAACAAGGCCAACAGGGGCCAACACACTGAAGCTACCGGATGCTGGTTCAAGTGACGCTGTCACAGCAAACAACTATACAGCAGTTTTAATAACTAATTTTCACATTCAAAACGTGTCGTTATAACCGTTTTGTTTTGCTGACATATAACAGAAGCATGTCTGCATTTCGACAGAGACAGATATAAAGTATCTTACTTTTGTGTGAAAATCGTAATCAAGAACATGTTGTATATATTCCAGCGATTATCATCATAATATGACGCACGAAGTGCACAGAGTTCGAAAACCGTTCGATTAGCTGTTTTTGATTTCACTATGTGCACATTTATTTTACCGACTGCTTTATTTAAACTATTTTATGCATTGAATCGTTTGCACACTCAACTTAAACATAATAATCATTTTTATAGCAGTCTTAAAATTGTCAGAATGTGTTTCACTGATTATAAAAATCCAGTCGAGAAACAGACGACATTTTGTTTACATGTCATATAGTTGGTAGCGTTCTTCAAAATAAACAAAATGATATTTCGTACATTTAACATGGCGGTAAGATAAACACGTTGTAAACTTCTCCCTCAAAGTTATACGGTCTGATGTACGCCTTTTTGTAGCAGTGTTATCCCTCGCCTACCGGCTCATGTGACACTGCTACAAAGAAGCATACATCAGACGGTATTACCATCGAGAGAAGCATACAACTTATATTATTTGCATGTAACTAATGCATGAGTGAGTGAGTGAGTGAGAGTTTAGTTTTACGCCGCACTCAGCAATATTCCAGGTATTTGGCAGCGGTCTGTAAATAATCGAGTCTGGACCAGACAATCCAGGGATCAACAGAATGAACATCGTTCTACGCAATTGGGATACGTCTAATGCATGAGGACGATATGGGTGAAGTGTCGCTTAAAGGGTATTCAGTTCATAGACATGTTTATATTTGTTAAAATGATTGAAATATTATTATTCATTACAGTCAAAAATTGTTACAGAGTATTTTATGTATTGTTGACTGCGATAGAGCTATAAATATGTTACGGCTGAAAGTTATTGGATATTTATATAGCGCACATATCCACGCACTAGTGCATGCTCAAGCCGCTGGTAGTTTTTCCCTTGATCATTGGATGTCAATCTCAACGCACATCTTATTATCAATCTCAACTCCTGGGGATCATACAACTCTTGCAGCCACTAGGCGCACCGAGTTATTGCGGCTTTCCCATCCATACGAGGTTCTCATTCACAGCTGGGTGGACTGGTTCTGATGACAAGCATGTAACACTAGTGACCTAGTTCTGATGACAAGCATAGAACACTGGTGACCTAGTTCTGATGACAAGCATAGAACACTGGTGACCTAGTTCTGATGACAAGCATAGAACACTGGTGACCTAGTTCTGATGATGAGCATGGAGCAGCGGTGACCCAGTTCTTATGACAAGCATGGAACACTGGTGACCTAGTTCTGATGAAAGAGAAAGACCTATCGCAGTACATACTGACACACAAGGTCTGTTACTTTGTCAAAGTGGCTCACAGATATTTAATTGTTACAGTTTTTTCATGAGGTTAGAAATCTATATCATCAACAGTTGGCTTCCTCCTGTCCAGCTGCAACTTCTTCACTTCCTCTTCACAACCAGCAACACCGGACACCTTCAAGTCTGTGGTGGTGCTGTCCACAGGCTGCCGACTGCAGGAACCTCCACATGACTTCTGTGCTGTGACGTCGTCCATCTCACCAAGCACTGCAGCAGAACTTGAAGTACTCTCAGATTCTTCTCGAGCCAGCTTGTCTGCCAGCTGAAAACATAATATTGACTAATCACACTGATTAATGTTTCAGCATAAAATGTCATTAATCAGAACCATTAAAGTCTAAAACCTTGATAATAATGTTGCATGTATTTCTAACTTTATAATGTCAGTTATGGTTTTTCTCGAACACACCGTCTACACAGAGATTATTTATGGCTTCAGACTGTCCAACAGTCACCAAAGTCTTCATTTGTATCCACCAGTCACCCAATGTCTTCACTTGCATCCAACAGTCACCTAATGTCTTCACTTGCATCCAAAAGTCACCCAATGTCTTCACTTGCATCCAACAGTCACTCAATGTCTTCACTTGCATCCAACAGTCACCCAATGTCTTCACTTGCATCCATCAGTCACCAAACGTCTTCACTTGCATCAATCAGTCACCCAATGTCTTCACTTGCATCCAACAGTCACCCAATCTCTTCACTTGCATCCAACAGTCACCTAATGTCTTCACTTGCATCCAACAGTCACCCAATATCTTCACTTGCATCCAACAGTCACTCAATGTCTTCACTTGCATCCAACAGTCACCAGACGTCTTCACTGGCATCAACCAGTCACCCAATGTCTTCACTTGCATCCACCAGTAACCTAATGTCTTCACTTGCATCCAACAGTCACCCAATGTCTTCACTTGCATCCAACAGTCACCTACTGTCTTCACTTGCATCCAACAGTCACCTAATATCTTCACTTGCATCCAACAGTCACCCAATGTCTTCACTTGCATCCAACAGTCACCCAATGTCTTCACTTGCATCCATCAGTCACCTACTGTCTTCACTTGCATCCAACAGTCACCTAATATCTTCACTTGCATCCAACAGTCACTCAATGTCTTCACTTGCATCCAACAGTCACTCAATGTCTTCACTGGCATCCAACAGTCACCCAATGTCTTCACTTGCATCCAACAGTCACCTAAAGTCTTCACTTGCATCAAACAGTCACCCACTGTCTTCACTTGCATCCACCAGTCACCTAATGTCTTCACTTGCATCAAACAGTCACCTACTGTCTTCACTTGCATCCAACAGTTACTTGCATCCAACAGTCACTTAATGTCTTCACTTGCATCCAACAGTCACTTAGTGTCTTCACTTGCATCCAACAGTCAACTACTGTCTTCACTTGCATCCAACAGTCACTTAATGTCTTCACTTGCATCCAACAGTCACCTACTGTCTTCACTTGCATCCAACAGTCACCTACAGTCTTCACTTGCATCCAACAGTCACCTAATGTCTTCACTTGCATCCAACAGTCACCTACTGTCTTCACTTGCATCCAACAGTCACCCAATGTCTTCACTTGCATCCAACAGTCACCTACTGTCTTCACTTGCATCCAACAGTCACCTAATGTCTTCACTTGCATCCAACAGTCACCTACTGTCTTCTTCACTTGCATCCAACAGTCCAACTGTCTTCACTTGCATCCAACAGTCACCTACTGTCTTCACTTGCATCCAACAGTCACCCAATGTCTTCACTTGCATCCAACAGTCACTCAATGTCTTCACTTGCATCCAACAGTCACCTACTGTCTTCACTTGCATCCAACAGTCACCTAATGTCTTCACTTGCATCAAACAGTCACCTAATGTCTTCACTTGCATCCAACAGTCACCTACTGTCTTCACTTGCATCCAACAGTCACCCAATGTCTTCACTTGCATCCAACAGTCACCTAATGTCTTCACTTGCATCAAACAGTCACCTACTGTCTTCACTTGCATCAAACAGTCACCTACTGTCTTCACTTGCATCCAACAGTTACTTGCATCCAACAGTCACCTAATGTCTTCACTTGCATCCAACAGTCACTTAGTGTCTTCACTTGCATCCAACAGTCAACTACTGTCTTCACTTGCATCCAACAGTCACTCAATGTCTTCACTTGCATCCAACAGTCACCTACTGTCTTCACTTGCATCCAACAGTCACCTAATGTCTTCACTTGCATCCAACAGTCACCTACTGTCTTCACTTGTCCAACAGTTCACTTGCATCCAACAGTCACCTAATGTCTTCACTTGTATCCAACAGTCACCTAATGTCTTCACTTGCATCCAACAGTCACCTGTCTTCACTGTCTCACCTACTGTCTTCACTTGCATCCAACAGTTACTTGCATCCAACAGTCACCTAATGTCTTCACTTGCATCCAACAGTCACCTAATGTCTTCACTTGCATCCAACAGTCACCTACTGTCTTCACTTGCATCAACAGTCACCTCAATGTCTTCAACTTGCATCCAACAGTCACCCAATGTCTTCACTTGTATCCAACAGTCACCTGTCTGTCTTCACTTGCATCCAACAGTCACCTAATGTCTTCACTTGCATCAAACAGTCACTACTACTGTCTTCACTTTGCATCCAACAGTTACTTGCATCCAACAGTCACCTAATGTCTTCACTTGCATCCAACAGTCACTTAGTGTCTTCACTTGCATCCAACAGTCAACTACTGTCTTCACTTGCATCCAACAGTCACCTAATGTCTTCACTTGCATCCAACAGTCACCTAATGTCTTCACTTGCATCCAACAGTCACCTAATGTCTTCACTTGCATCCAACAGTCACCAAATGTTTCACTTCACTGCATCCAACAGTCACCTAATGTCTTCACTTGCATCCAACAGTCACTTAATGTCTTCACTTGCATCCAACAGTCACCTAATGTCTTCACTTGCATCCAACAGTCACTCAATGTCTTCACTTGCATCCAACAGTCACCTACTGTCTTCACTTGCATCCAACAGTCACCTAATGTCTTCACTTGCATCCAACAGTCACCTAATGTCTTCACTTGCATCCAACAGTCACCTACTGTCTTCACTTGCATCCAACAGTCACCTAATGTCTTCACTTGCATCAAACAGTCACCTAATGTCTTCACTTGCATCCAACAGTCACCTAATGTCTTCACTTGCATCCAACAGTCACCTACTGTCTTCACTTGCATCCAACAGTCAACTTGCATCCAACAGTCCCCTACTGTCTTCACTTGCATCCAACAGTCACCTAATGTCTTCACTTGCATCCAACAGTCACCCAATGTCTTCACTTGCATCCAACAGTCACTTAGTGTCATCACTTGCATCCAACAGTCACCTAGTCTTCACTTGCATCCAACAGTCACCTACTTTCACTTGCATCTAACAGTCACCTACTGTCTTCACTTGCATCCATCAGTCAACTACTGTCTTCACTTGCATCCAACAGTCACTCAATGTCTTCACTTGCATCCAACAGTCACTTAGTGTCATCACTTGCATCCAACAGTCACCTAGTCTTCACTTGCATCCAACAGTCACCTACTGTCTTCACTTGCATCCATCAGTCACCTACTGTCTTCACTTGCATCCAACAGTCAACTTGCATCCAACAGTCCCCTACTGTCTTCACTTGCATCCAACTGTCACCTACTGTCTTCACTTGCATCCAACAGTCACCTAATGTCTTCACTTGCATCCAACAGTCACCTAATGTCTTCACTTGGCTTTAGGACAGTTTACTTGTATCCAAGATGTCCCCCAATGTGTTTACTTGTATCCAAGATGTCCCCCAATGTGTTTACTTGTATCCAGGATGTCCCCAAATGTTTTACTTGTATCCAAGATGTCCCCCAATGTGTTTACTTGTATCCAAGATGTCCTCCAATGTGTTTACTTGTATCCAAGATGTCCCCCAATGTGTTTAATTGTATCCAGGATGTCCCCAAATGTGTTTACTTGTATCGAAGATGGCCCCAAATGTATTTACTTGTATCCAAGATTTCCCCCAATGTGTTTAATTGTATCGAAATGTCCCCCAATGTGTTTACTTGTATCCAAGATGTCCTGTAATGTATTTACTTGTATCCAGAATGTCGCACAATGTGTTTACTTGTATCCAAGATGTTCCCCAATGTATTTACTTGTATCCAGGATGTTGCACAATGTGTTTACTTGTATCCAAGATGTCCCCCAATGTGTTTACTTGTATCCAGGATGTCGCACAATGTGTTTACTTGTATCCAAGATGTCCCCCGATGTGTTTACTTGCATCGAAATGTCCCCCAATGTATTTACTTGTATCAAAGATGTCCCATAATGTATTTACTTGTTTCCAAGATGTCCCCCAATGTGTTTACTTGTATCCAGGATGTCGCCCAATGTGTTCACTTGTATCCAGGATGTCGCACAATATGTTTACTTGTATCCAAGATGTCCGTCAATGTGTTTACTTGTATCCAAGATGTCCCTCAATGAGTTTACTTGTATCCTAGATATCCCCCAATGTGTTAACTTGTATCCAAGATGTCGCCCAATGCGTTTACTTGTATCCAAGATGTCCCCCAATGTGTTTACTTGTATCCAAGATGTCCCCAATGCGTTTACTTGTATCCAAGATGTCCCCCAATGTGTTTACTTGTACCCAAGAGGTCCCCCAATGCATTTACTTGTTTCCTGGATGTCACGGTCTTTGTGTGAAGATGTCCTGTAACAACTTTACTTGTTAACAAGAACTTCCATCAGAACCAGGAAGAGAGTCTTCAAAATCAGTTTTCACTGTCTGAACTTTGGGGCTTTCCTGGTCTTGCATGAGTTGTCTCCCTTGGACACTTATCTAAAAAAAAACTGTCTTACCTTCCTCCTTTCTTTGTGCTCCTTGCCAATACCGAGTCTGGGGGAGAAAGATATGCACATATATATATATATATATATATATATATATATATATAGACAAAGTCGACCTTTGAGCGACATTTGTGCGACCTTTAGTCGACAGCTGTCGCCCTAAGGATATATTTCTGTCGCCTAAATATCTGCATGTCACAACTATGTTCATTTTCCTTAATAACTATTCCAAACTAGATGGTTGGATAGAGGGTAGTCTCAGGACCTTCGGTTGTGCTTCTTTTGTATTTTTATAAAATTTCAGTGCTGTTATTGAAAAACAAAAATATCATGTATATAACGTCTGCGACCTTTTCGTGACCGCGGGTTTTCTATAAAATTCTCTAACACATGGATATATGTTCAGAAATAAACAATGGAGAAATTATTGTCTAAATATATACTCTTAGGTTTTGTACGGTTTTCAAATATACACATCGTCAAGTGTTCAGCATAACATCACTGTTTAGCTCGCAGTACCCTTGGCGATTGCCTTCACGCTCCTAATGCGTCAAAAAGCGTGAAAGTTCAAAAGCGGTCGAAATGAACACTTAGCTAATAATTCAATAATGTCTGTAGATATTGTGGGGAGCTGACAGACAAGACTAATATGCCACCAAGAACACGCGTTTAAATACTTAAAACATTTCATTCTTATATCAAATATCAATGTAATAATCTGTAAATAAATTGAATTCATGTTTCACCACGAAGGCCCGTTCACGTTTGTAGTCAAATCGGATACCCTTTGCTACAGTTTTCGCGCACCTCCTACGAGGTGACTTGGCAGCACAAAGCATTAGAAATGCAGGGTATGTATCGTAATCGAAGTATTTTGTTGAAAACAGCAGCATGTACAATTGTTTCAAAGTGATGCCTGTCCCATGACACAATCTATTTCAAGATTTCTCAACTGGAAGAAACTGTTTGCTAGTAGATCTAACTTGATCATGATTGTGGCGTTTAGTATCATGTTGTTTCTTGATCCTCACCTAGGGCTAGACTATCGCTTGAGTCTCTGAATATAATTTTTTTATATCAACAAACAAGCGCATTATAAATTGAAAAGGGGCCCCGGGGAAAACAGAACTTGAGAAAATCTAGACTTGCTTCATTTAGGGCCTTTAGCATTGCAGAAAGGGCAAGGCAGTAAGGAAAATAATATTGTGGTTCAGGTGACACAGACTACAGGGTACAGTTGTTGGCTATAAGTGAGTCTTCATTAGTGAAATTTCCATAGACTTACATGTTAATTAACTGTTGCAAGAATAATTTTCATAAATTGAGTAGAAGTTTGCAAACATCTTGGAAATCATCTTCAGCTACGTGTACATAATTTTCTTTCATCTTTCCATTGATTAGTTATCGAATGACACCTGATTAAGCACCATAAATACAACTTAATTTTTATATATACCATAGACATGTTAAACCTGATTGGTATGTCTAATATATGTTGTTTAAGAAGTTGCAGTCTTCTTAATAATCCTCGGAAAAATTAAAAGGAAATTATGTGTACAAAGCTGAGATGATTTCCAAGCTGGTAAGTGCTGAAAGCAATTCCACCCAAACTAAATGTATGAAAATTATTCTTGCAAGAATTAATTAACATGAAAGTCTATGTGAATTTCACTATTGATGACTCACTTATGGCCAACTACTGTAGATCCACAACCGAAAGAGCTAATCACAGCTGTATGATTTTATGTTCACTCAGTGGTTGAAATTGACCTTTTACTTTTAGGTGCAGTTCGGTCGCGGCAAAAACCCCAAAACATCTCTCATTCTGATGCCTGATATTCAGGGTATCAGACTGACTTTTACTGATATATTGTTTTCTTATTTTAAATATATATCTACCAACTAATAGATAAATAAAACCCAAAAAACAGTCAATAACCATTACTAATTTCAATAACTAACCAAATCTGTAAGACTTGAATTCAGTAAAAATTACTTATAGGCCAAATGTAGACATAGCATAACACATTACAATCGGTTTTATCACCCACACTGCATATTCTGACCATGGGGTAATACTCATTGACATGGGTTTGCTCAAATAATGAGCTGATAGTGCAGTGTTGAGGAAGACTTGTAGTTATAGTTTCATAATGGCACTCTCCATTGTTGCTCTTTGCTGTTTCCTCTGATAGCTGGACTACACATTTTATATCAGCTACACATTTCCTAAATTGTTCATGCAAAGAAATATGCATTTGCTCTCTTGACCATAATATGTTTCAGGTACATTATTTATATCAAGAGTTTCTAACTTTCAAATATAGCTTTTTGTACTCCTGCTTTGAACCCTGCTCCTTTGGGTGTTTATGTGCAGTCTATCTCCTCCACTGGTCTATCAGAGTGAAAATATCAGTGTATAGTGATGAAATGTATATGTTGCACCATTTTCATGCTAATAATAATAATTATCTCCATATGAGTACAAAGATTGTAGCCTACCACCTTATTACCTACAAGTAAAGGCTGTCTGGGTCAAACCTTGTTTGGTTTTAGTAACCTGATACATTTTGTGGCTGATTATGACAAGAATTTCTAATTACCAGAAAACACATTTACTGATGCTGAGAGATCCTAAAAGATAAAAACTTTTCTGGCATTTGGCCCCAGTCTAAGTAAACTTAGTCTCAATACTATTCGTTACACTCCTCTACTCAGTATAGTAGGGTAACGAATAATACTGAGGCTAAGTTTACTTAGACTGATTTGGCCCAGGACTATAACCTTGTCTGTCCACATGCCACTGCCACTCAGCCAGCATAATTATGAGCAATACATCCTCCCACTCACAGGATCTTTGTATGTTTAATGCAGGGACATTTCCTCATTTTAAAGTCTAAATCCTGTACATTGTGTAACATAGGAAAGAGGGTAAATACCAGTGGACAGGATAAGATTAACTGAAAAATCAAGGATGGATCTCACTAAACACATTAAGACATGTTATAACTTATTGGTTGGTCAATAGACCAACTGTTTCTATGCAGGGATATGTTATTAGTCTTTTATGGTTTTTTAAGTTCCCTTAGAAGTCAAATTGCATAGAAGGGTAATTTTGTTCAAAGCAGGGGTTTCTTAAACAAACTATTTCTGTTTTTAAAAATGGAGGTGAAGTTTAACATTTCTTTCAGTACAAACAGTAAGAATTAAAGCCTCCTCCTCTTGTAAGTAACCTTTACAAAGCCATAATAACAGTTTCAGAAATGCCTCTTTGATGCATCTATTCAGGTAGTGTGCTATTCATCATTGGTCCATCATCGGCTAATAGTTTGCACTGTCGACTAATACCAACATCTCTGAACAGCACTGGGCAGACAGTATTGATATAAATCATAGAATCGATGATTATTATTATGAATAGTAAATTAAAAATAAACCTGAAAGAAATCAACATTTTGTATTACTGGTGAGTTTTTACCTTTATGCATGGATGACTAACAAAATCCTGAACATGACTTAGAAGCAACCCATGACTAAAGATATAACTTTGTATATTGTGTGAGTAAATTGAAACTATGATACTATGGGTATTCTTAAATTCCAATCAAATTGACTTGATGGCACAAGTTTTTTCCTTTGGTCACCCTTCAACTCAAGATGAAAGATGACATAGACTGTAAAAAGTCAGGAAAGATCTAGCCTGTCTCATAGTTCCTGAACTGCATTATTTTTACTTCCGTCTATGCCTTTCTGCAATGATAAAGACCTAATTTAAGCAAGTCTAGATTTACTTAGTTTCAGGAATCTCCCATCTCACTGGAGCTCCTTTTCAGTTTAAAAGGATTTGTTTGATTCTATCAAAATTATATATATTCAGAGACTAATTGCTAGTCTCGGATGGTCCTGTTAGACATGGAAATCCTAGCCAATCCAGTTTATGCCCGGTAAGTTAATTTTATTTTACAATGGTTTCTGAATATGAAACATTGTAAATTCATAATGTATGTATGTTGTTAGGGTGACAACTAAATCGTGTAGAATTTTAAATACTTTATCAGTTCAGAAGAAAAAATATTATTTCTTAAGCTCAGTTTTGAATTTAAGTTCATAATCATTTTGAGAATAATATTGTTGACATTTTAATGTTACATAATACAGACAACTATGAACGGGACCAAGACACGTTGAGCTTTGCAGAGAAAATGTGATCTTCAAATTGCAGAATCGGAGGGGAGTCTCAGGCATTCCAAAGTGAGGAAGTGGTAGGTTATGTGATCCAGAGATCAATACCTTCATGTTACTAGATTTAAGTTGTGAATACCAATTTTACAGCTTTGTTAAATTTATTTCTACCTTAACTAGGGATGTCGCGATACATAAGTTTCATGAATCAATACGCATCACGATACTCATGACATGATTCGATATGTATCATGATACCTATTTTCGCTGCATTATTGTGTAAAAAATTAGTTACATTTTGAACATTAAATATTTTATATTTTATAAGCGTCCTTGAAAAGATCCACATTTTCTATTCTCAGAGATTAAAAGTTGTAATTTCCCATCTTTGTGTATGAAAATAATCATTTATAACTCTCATAACATAAAAACATGATACAATTGCAAAATGTGACGATACTTATATTAAAACATGTTTAAATCAATACTTTCAAAACTAAATATCGATTTTTGAATGTATCAATGATTGTATCATCTTAGAAAAGTATCGATGTATCGTGGCATTCCTAACCTAAACATTGTTCTGGCTTACCTTTAGTGAATTCAGCACCGCAAACTTGCAATACCGGCGAAGTAATGCCTCATGAATCTTTGCAATTTGTTTAATCCTTCTCAATATTAGTACAGTTATCTTGAATGGTAGTGTGCCGATCAGTACCGAGTGCAGCAATACATGTTTTAGGTATTATCTCAATACAGGATCTTTTACTATTCATAAAAGTATCAAAAATTCAAAATGGCCAATAAGAGATTAATTGATAAACATGGAATAGCCTTATATACAGATAGTCTGTCTTTTGATGACATATATGAAAATTTAAAGAAAAAACTGTATATACTCTCATAACAAGCAGTTCCAGACAAGTATTGTGGTTCTGATCATGGAAAACTTTACAGAAAATGTAGAAATTTTTTGAAAATTGGCATAATTTGCTCTTTTCAAATATCAATAGGGTAATTTTCAACATTTTTAAGCTTTTCTATTGACTTTTGCACTTGATTGATGTCCAAACATTTGCAATTCAAAACTTTATCCCTGCAATAATCATATCTTTTATAATAGAGATATCATTTTCACTTTTAGGTTACTATGTATTCATATCTTACCACAGCTTCATAGAGAGCTGATGCGTTATTAGTTTCGTAGAGTACACACAATTCAGAAAGGATTGGCATTTTCAATACAGAATATACAAATTAACATATTCCTACATTTTGTTGTTTGTCTGTTGTCAAACTTTCAATCTTCTATCTAGATAATCAGGTGTATTAAAGTTCTGACACCATTATGTTCATATCACTTGGGTTAGGTTGGGGGTGGGGATGGGTGGGTTCTCAATTAAATTTGTTTTACATAATTGTATCAGGTGTTTAAATGGGTTGTTATCAAATGATTCATGTAATTGTTGATACATTTGCATTAATGTTTGGTGTCCTTCATACACAGGAAATTCAGCAAATGAGAATTGAAGACACCTCTATTACATTATAGCAAATACATTTTATTTGTTTATCTTTTCAGGATTCAGATGTAGTATCTGTGAGAAAGTACTGAAATGTAAAGGTGGATATACTGTTCATCAGCAGATGACTTGAAGTCAAAAGGTACCACCAGTTTTTAGTAGTGTCTTTCTAGATATCCAGATAAGTGAACACCAATAACATATATCATGATACAAAAGTCAAGAATGTGTTTATCTCGACTGCTTTATGATATCCCTGGCAGGTCATTAGTAAATCAATCAAGCTAAATTCCATTGTATGCAACTAGGATGTGTTGTCTAAAGGTCTGTGTTTGATGATGAATAGGATGTATCTTGTTGACCATCGGGCAACTTCTATACATATATATGTATTAATATTCAGCAGAATGTAGGGTAACACATCATATCTGTTATAATCACAGCCCATTGGGCAACACATCCCATCTATTATTTTTACGTACCTTTGGGCAACACATCCAATTTGTTATTTTTACAGACCATTGGGCAACACATATTTATTCACATCAGACCTTATCAGAGGACCTTTGGGCAACACATCATATCTGTTATCAGCAGACCTTTGGGCAACACATCATATATTTTCAATAGACCTGTGGGCAACACATCATATAATCAGTAGACCTTAGGGCAACACATCATATATATCGACAGTAGACCTGTGTGCAACACATCTTATATATCACCAGTAGACCTTTGGTCAACACATCTTATATATCACCAGTAGAACTGTAGGCAGCACATCTTATATATCAACAGTAGACCTTAGGGCAACACATCTTATATATCACCAGTAGACCTTTAGGCAACACATCTTATATATCACCAGTAGACCTGTGGGCAACACATCATATATATTACCAGTAGACCTTAGGGCAACACATCTTATATATCACCAGTAGACCTTAGGGCAACACATCATATATATTACCAGTAGACCTTAGGGCAACACATGATATATATCACCAGTAGACCTTAGGGCAACATCTTATACATTATCCAAGACAGTAGACCTTAGGGCAACACATCTTATGTATCACCAGTAGACCTGTCCACATCATATGTAGTAGACCTTAGGGCAACACATCATATATATCACCAGTAGACCTTAGGGCAACACATCTTATATATCACCAGTAGACCTTAGGGCAACACATCATATATAATCAGTAGACCTTAGGGCTAAATCTTATATATCACCAGTAGACCTTAGGGCATCTTATATATCACCCAGTAGACCTGAGGGCAACACATCATATATATTACCAGCAGACCTTAGGGCAACACATCATATATATATAGTAGACCTTAGGGCAAAACATCTTATATATCACCAGTAGACCTTAGGGCAACACATCTTATATATCAACAGTAGACCTTAGGGCAACACATCTTATATATCACCAGTAGACCTTAGGGCAACGCATCTTATATGTCACCAGTAGACCTTAGGGCAACACATCATATATATCACCAGTAGACCTTAGGGCAACGCATCTTATTTATCACCAGTAGACCTTAGGGCAACACATCTTATATATCACCAGGAGACCTTAGGGCAACACATCATATATATCACCAGTAGACCTTAGGGCAACACATCATATATATCACCATTAGACCTTAGGGCAACACATCATATATATCAACAGTAGATCCGTGGAGCTTTTGGGCAACACATCATATATATCACCAGTAGACCTTAGGGCAACACATCATATGTATTACCAGTAGACCTTAGGGCAACGCATCTTATATATCACCAGTAGACCTTAGGGCAACGCATCATATATATCACCAGTAGACCTTAGGGCAACACATCGTATATATCACCAGTAGACCTTAGGGCAACACATCTTATATATCACCAGTAGACCTTAGGGCAACACATCTTATATATCACCAGGAGACCTTAGGGCATCACATCATATATATCACCAGTAGACCTGTGGTGAATCACATCATATATATCACCAGTAGACCTTAGGGCAACACATCATACTATCATTAGACCTGTGGTCAACACATCTTATATATCCCAGTAGACCTTAAGGCAACACATCATATATATCACCAGTAGACCTTAGGGCAACACATCTTATATATCACCAGTAGACCTTAGGGGAACACATCTTATATATCACCAGTAGACCTTAGGGCAATGCATCTTATATATCACCATAGACCTGAGGGCAGCACATCATATATATCACCAGTAGACCTTAGGGCAACACATCTATATATATCACCAGTAGACCCAAGGGGAACACATCTTATATATCACCAGTAGACCTTAGGGCAACACATCTTATATATCACCAGTAGACCTTTGGGCAACACATCTTATATATCACCAGTAGACCTTAGGGCAATGCATCTTATATATGACCATAGACCTGAGGGCAACACATCATATATATCACCAGTAGACCTGTGGTCAACACATCTTATATGTCCCTAGTAGACCTTAGAGGGCAACAGATGATATATATCACCAGTAGACCTTAGGGCAACACATCATACAATCAGTAGTAGACCTTGTGGTCAACACATCTTATATGTCCCTAGTAGACCTAAGGGCAGCGCATCTTACATATCACCAGTAGACCTTAGGCAACACATCTTATATATCACTAGTAGACCTGTGGGGCAACACATCATTTATATTACCAGTAGACCTTAGGGCAACACATCATACAATCAGTAGACCTGTGGGCAACACATCATATATGATTATCAGTACACCATTAAAGGTTTACACATCATATGTAGTGTATATACCAAACTCTCGCAGTAGTTCACTTGACTACAGTCGAATGTAATCAAACTGTGTATCCCTAAAGAGGCTGTTTCACTAATCAGTTTGTAATCTAGGTATATCATATGGGTAAGTTGGGTTTGGATTGTCACGCACTGTGCACGGCAGCAAGTAGTACTGTGCACTGAGATGTAGTATTAAATCATACTTTACTAAAGGGTTAAGATTTCTTCCTTGCAGTCTGTATTGACTGATGTCAGTTATGATTCAACCCTTCAAATGATATGTGTCACCTAGATAGATAAAAATTACACAAAATGACAGATCATGTTTGTATTCTACAGTGTCAGTACATACTGTATGTTTCTAGATTTGTGGGTTTCATTGAGTAGTCAATGCCAAAATTGTTTACATTTCAAACTTCAAGCTTAACTTATGTGCTCTAAATGTAATTTCTGTTCATCAAATACACAACAAACGAACTTTAAATCCTGAAAACATACCATGTCTTTTCTAACTAGATAACTAACCCTTAGCCTTTAGGACAGCTCAAACCTGCTGACATACTGCTGACATATGTCATCAACTGGTTCCTGAATTCGAATCATGCATGACATGTAGGAGACGGAGAAAATCTCTGAGCCAATTGTATGCAGAATTTTATGAAGCTCTGGTTTTAGGAAGGTTTAATCAGATATGTTCCTTTAACATATTTTCAGTTCGACCTTTGTTATACACAAAATCCACGCTGCCATTTTTGTCAATCAAAAATGCTTGCTCTTAATAAAATGTCTCTTTGTCTCACCTTACTTTCTTGTTGCTTTGATTATTTTGTATCATTGCCATAATAATTCTCTGAGTATATACCAAAACATGTGTATGTTGCTGCATATTAATATCGGGCTAAAGTGCTCTGTTTCATCATTATTTCACTCTTGTTTTGATAAACACCTTCAAGCAATAAAGCTAACTACAGTATCTATCTGACATCCTCCCACCTTTCCCTTTTCTGTGGTATTCAGCCCGTATCTGCTTAATGAAGCTTTTACTACTAATCAGGGTTGACGGCTGATGGTAGCCTAGTGGTTTAGGCTTCTCGCTTTGTCATAGCTAAAACTAAACTCACTCACTACTAGTGCTGGACTCATTTCACTCATAGACAGTGGCAGTCACCCTATCCAATTTTCAGCCATGTTACCAGATTAAAGTTTCCTGTAACACTCAAGGCTTCATCTCTTTAGAACTATTTCTATTCTAATGCTATAGCAAACTTTAATTTAATGACTATAGATTTCGTTATGTATTGTATATTGCATTGATTAGAAACTAACATATACTACTTCACACTTCGGTTAAGGATCACAAAATACCCTAACTATACTTACACATAGATTTTATAATTTGAAATTGTATTACTATTGTTTGATAAATGATAATATGGTTACCCTTCTTAGGCAAGCAGCTACTTTAGTCTAACCTTATGCACTTGATACATGAGTAACCATAAAATGGTTTTAATGGCACCAATCAACTATTTTGGTAAATCAGCAGTGGAATGAGTCATTTACAAACAAACAACACCTGTCAATAGCGGATATGGATCCACAAGATGAAATGACATACTGAAACCTAGGATCCATGCTTTCATAATAAGCTTAGATATTTAAACCAAATTTGATCCCACATCATAGTTTTCTGTTGAATCAATGATTCAATTCCATAGCAAAAGCATGAATAGTATATATTTAGCCACAAGTCCTCATAATGATAAACAAATTAGCTAAATCTTAAATGGCAAATGTTTATCTGTCCTAATAAAACCTTTAAGCTGGGGAGTTGGGTAAAGACTATAGGGCTAGAAGCTGGAGCGGATGATACTCTACTACTTTTGTACCTTGATGTTTTTTGGCATAATTTTGAACTTTGTTATATTTCAGAAATCGAGACCATTCAGTCATTTCTACAGATTTCTGCACCTAATGCTCTTTAAGGTTCAGCTGAGAAAAAAAAATGATGAACAAAGCAGAAAATAGCAGCAAAGGACAAGGAAGAGATGGCATACATTTTAAGAATGAAATTAACTTAATAAATATTCAGATCATTTCTACGGATGTTACTTTGGGGAATTCACTTTCCCAGTATAGTGGATACTATACTATTTCTTTATTAGAGGGTGGAGGAATCCCTTTGTGTGATTTGAACTCACCTCTAAAGGTGAAACACCTATCACAGAACAACATTGTTTGCAATTCTTAACCTGACAAATGTTAGTCAAGGTCTTGATCAGAGAAGTGTCAATGCCATTACAATTACATTTTTGCAAAGTTATGCAAATAAGAATGTCAAAATCCATTTGGTTTAATAAATAGTAATTATTAAACTTACAATTTTTTCTTGTTCCTATCATTAAGTCACTGGGTGGAATGTGGCTCCATTTTCCAGCGGTGGAGTCTCAAGTTGATTTGGAAAAATAGGGCTGGGTGGTAGCACTCTATGATCTTAGTGCGTGATGGGCTGTGTTTTCTAGATGGTATTAGACCAGACATCAGGCAAATATCCGTGTCGGAGCCCCCAGTTTATTCAGGAGTCGTCTTGTATGCCCTCAAAAGTGTATGATAAGAATACTGGAATAGTCCTGAATGGCCTCAAATGGGCTGGCAGGCTTAAATGGTATTCAGACCAAAACATCAGGCAAACATCCGTGTCGGACCAAGTTTATTCAGTCCCTGGTATTGCGTATGATCTTACAGGAGCCCAATGTCTGGTATGCCCTAGTGTATTCAGACCAGACATAAGAATACGGAATAGGAGTCCTGACTGGCCTAGGAGAACGAACTCGAATGGGCTTTGGTTAGGTGGTATTTAGACCTGACATTTGGCAATGTATCCGTGTCGGAGCCCCCGTGTTTATTCAGGAATCGTCTTGGTATGCCTTCAGTGTATGATAAGAATATTGGAATAATCCTGATCGCCCAAAATGGGCTGTATTAGATGGTATTCAGACCAGACAACAGGCAAATATCAGTGTCGGAGCCCCAGTTTATTCAGGAGGCGTCTGGTATGCCCCAATACGACAAGAGAACGAGAATAGTCCCGACTCGGCTCAAAATGCATTGTATTTAAATGGCATATTCAGATCCAGACATCAGGCAAATATCCGTGTCGGAGCCCCCAGTTTATTCAGGGTGTCGTCTGGTATGCCTCAGTGTATGATAAGAATACGGAATAGTCCCGACTGCCTACAATGGGCTTTGGTTAGGTGGTATTAAACCTTGCAGACATTTGGCAATATCCGTGTCGGAAACCCCAGTTTATTCAGGTGTCGTCTGGTATGCCTCAGTGTATGATAAAGAATACTGAATAGTCCCGAAATGGCTCAAATGGGCTGCGTTTAAATGGTATTCAGACCAGACATCAGGCAAATATCGGTGTCGGAGCCCTAGTTTATTCAGGAGTCGTCTTGGCATGCCCTCGTAGTGTATGATAGGAGAACGAGAATATCCCCACTGGCTCAAAATGGGCTATGCTTAAATGGTATTTAGACCTGAAATTAGGCAAATATCCGTGTCGGAGCCCAGAAGTTTATTCAGGAGTCGCCTGGTAAGGCCCCCAGTGT